CCTCTAGCAGTTGTATGTAGCATAGAGTTTTGCCCCCCAATACACTTAAACAATCCTACTGTGCCTAAAGAGATACTGAAAGTGTGTTTAAGAGAAGGGATTTGGGAAAGTGCTTGTCTCATTTGATGAGGCGGGACCTCAATAGCTCAGTGTGTGCAATTATTTGTGCCAGCTGTGAGGAGTGCTCTTATATAGTGGGAGATGTTCTGAGTAGTCAGGTAAGGTCCTGCCCCACAAACCTCTCTGGAAAGGCTTCAAATAGAGCTATACTTAATAATTCCATTTAATAGGTACAATGTGAAGAAGGTAACAGAAGTGAGAGAACCTGAGTGTTATTTGCTTGAATATTGTAAACCCCATTTTTATGTATTTGTAATTTGCTATTACAAAGTATTAAAGTGACATTTCATCCACCCTGACATTTTGCTTTTTTAGAAAAAAAAGCAGCCCTCTCAGCACTGCATTGAAGTGAGTGCACCCATACCAATGGGAGCTCTGAGCACAAAACCTCATCAGCTGTGTAATAATCCTTATAAGATTTGTAGTATGGAGAATTCCCTCAGGAGTCCTGTTCTCCATCCCATGGACTGGATCCTTGTTCTTTTGCAGAACTGATAAGGGACAGCACTGTTTGTTTGGACAATCAGAAACAGAAAGAAAAACACCTGTACTTTCTCTTTCTGTTTCGTTTTGTTGGGATTTTTTGTTGTTTGCTTTTGGATCACTCGTCTCAGTTATTTCTTCATTCTTTTTCTCCTGCTGCTCCTGCTTTCCAAGTTATCAGCTTCTCTCAAGGGTCCTGTAATTTTTAAAGCTTTTCTTAAATCTTCATCTCCTGGAGCCATTTCAGCTGTGATATTTTAAAAATTAAGCTTAACCTTTAAAAACTAAGCCTGCAGAAGCTGTATCAGAGATGACTGAAGACAAATTGAAAAGCAGGGACCTCTTGACAGTGAGTGGCATCAGAGCTTTCAGTGAGCTGGGAGTCACAAGCTTGATCAGGAGTGATTTTTAGGTTATTTTCTTATGGGAATGAGGTTTATATGGCCATGTCATGTAGGCAGAGGTATATCTGAGGGTGTATCCATGTTATTTAATAATGTTTGAATCTACTGGCTCACTTCAGACAGGATTAAATCTGACAGAATAATTTAGTTCCTGTGACTTTCATGAAAATAAGTTGTGGAGCAGGGAGGATGTATCATGTTCTCCCCTAATCATGGAAAATCTGCAGCAGGAACTTTTGGGCAACAGCATGCACTGGCTTAAGAGAATCTTAAATAAATCACAACTTTGGAAGAGATTTCAGTTAAAACTTGCACCTTACACCCTAAAGTTTAACAAATGATGAGGCACAGATGTGTGGGGAACCAGGCTTTCTTCATTCTCATAACAAGCTTTAATTTCAAGGGAGTTAAACATCTAGTGAAATCCCATAAAGAGTAAAAAGCTGAGCAGTGTAATGGGTGGAGTAACTTTAACTACAAAGGCGACCAAAATATGGGATTACTGAGGTGAGGGGGAACAGCAGATGAGGAATTTCTACACCTGTTGTGCATGAGGGGGGAGCTCAGGAATAGAAAGTCAGGAAGGGAAGGAAAAGCAAAAGGAAGCAGGAGGAGAAAAGAAAATTCAAGTTGGGAAAGGCATCAAGAAAGGCTTTGAAGATCACTGGGAGGAGAGATTAAACAGAAACTAAATTAGTTTTAATTTAATCTGTTCGCTCTCAAAAGAAATCAGTGAACTCCCATCCAAAGAAGTGCAGGCGAGGCAGAAGGAGAACAAAGGGGTTGCAGGGAGAATCAAATTTGAAGAAGAGGCAGGTCTGGACATGGGAAGCAGTTAATTTTAAGCACTGTTTAGTGAATGTGTCACTAATGAATGTGTCAGGGATAATGAGAGCTGAAACTTGTGGTAGGAGCAGCCAACGTGGCCACAGGAACTGTATGAGAGGTGCAGTTACGCAGCACAGGAGCAGAATCAGAGATTCTCCTGTGAATGAGACAAACTAAGAGTTGGTTGAGTTTGTTGTTTTTTTGGGGTTTTTTTTCCTACTCTTGTTTAAATAAATCATTCCCATTGAGATTGAGCCACAATTTACCCATCTGAGCACTCTGGATTAGCACAGCTCAGTTCCACCCTCTCTGCTTGGTGCAGAAGTTCCCTCTCTGCTCCCAAGACCGATGTCCACATGGTTCTGAATGTGCAGGGGAAAATGGCAATGGAAAAGGAACTCCTGAGAAGGCTCCAGGCAGTCTGGCAAGGGAATGGAGCAACTGTTTTGTCAGTGGACAAATGGTGGCAGTGTGGACAGGGTGACAAGATTCCTGAAGCAACTGTGTTGGCTGGACACAGCAGTGACGTGCAGGGGACTGAGGGCAGACCTGGCTTGTGGGAACATTTAAGTAGCTGTTTGTATTAACAAACTATAAGCCTGATCTTTAAAAAGTGGCCTAGCCCAGAAAAGTGTTCTGCAAAACAAAACAAAACAACAAAAAAAAAGAGTTTGCTTGCTACTGTTAAACCAGGGAGAAAGACATGGACCATGAAAAAATGTAGAGTATTCCCAGTTTAATGGGAACAGGATAATCAAGTAGATTCCCAGCGGCGGCTTTGCAGAGAGAGTACAAGACCTGAAAGCAAAACTGCTTTGGGTTTCAACAGAGCTCCCTAAAATGAGATTTGCTTTTTATGTGTTGCTTTCTTCCTCCCCTTGCTCTCTGCTCTCAAAGCCAGCGAGGTGATGTGGGGATGATCCTTCAAAAGCCTTGAGAATGAGGAACAAGGTGGAGATGACAGATCCATCACCTCGGACATGCATGACTCAAAGGCATCCCAGCCCTTTTGCACAGCAGAGTCTCTTTTTAGATATCCCAACAGCAAAATGGCCAAGCCATAGGGCACCCTCCTGAAAGCACATTCGTGACACTTGTATAGGAATGGTTTGGGAAAAGGGAGAATATTTAACAGAGGTAACTCATGGGGGAAGAAGCTGTGACAGCAGTGGTTCCTCCCAAGCGGAGTTTCGGTAGAAAAAACCCGATGTGTGGCCAGCATCTTTATTTCGGGCATGGCAGGATCCTGAGGGACAGCGCAGCTCCGCCCTCACTCAGACCCCGCAGTTCGGGGGTTTGGGGAGAACAGGGGGGGCGCAGCTTTGGGGCTGGAAGGGTCGCAGGGCTCAGCCGGGCAGCTTCACCCCACACAGGCCGCAGGAGAAGTTCCTGGGACAACCTGT